TTATTAAAATTTTTCAAATTAGTACATGACACATAACTCATATAAACCCCATGACATATTTTATACATATCTAGAATAACGATTTCATAAAATTAGGAAAAAATTAAAATTTAAGTGGAAAATTAAAAAACATTATTAAATCATTTATTGAAGGATTAAATTACTTTAAAAATTTATTCATTTTCAAAAAATTTGCAATGTACAAGAAACATAGTCACATTCATTCAATAACTAAGAAAATTTAAAATTATATACCTGGCATGATTAGGATTTTTTTATTGTAGATTGTTAAAAAAAAAATTTTATACTTTTTAAATTTTTTTGTAAAGAAAAACAAGTCTAGTTTGTTATATAAAAAAAAGAATTGATTAAAAAAAAATTGATTTTACCAAAAAAAAATTTGAATAGAATTTATACAATAATCTTATTGCATACCAAAAACATATATAACCTAAATAATTATGTTATGCAGATCTACTTTGACCTTTTGTTTTTATATAAATCGGCATAATTAAATCTTATAATTTCATGGTCCGGCCCTGAATTTTTAAAATTTCGTCATTTTGAATTGATTATGTATTTTGTAAAATAAGATGAAAAAAATATGAATGTAAATGAATGTTAATCGTCTCCAAAAACTTCAAATCATAACCAAAAAAAATATACTAGGTTGACATAAATTAAATTCAAATGTGCTGAGCAGTGCACGCATGTGTCCTTCTTTGGTGATATCATTTATCTTTTAATGAATTGTTAACGCTACATGTTTAAAGAAACTAATTTACAATTCAGAGCTTTCAAGTAGAATTATATTCCCACTTTTTAAAGGGAGCTATCGCTCCTTTTTCCATTTTCTTAAAGAGTGCCACTCTTTTAATTTCAAGTAATTTTAATGTAATCTTATTTTATGCGAATGCTGTTATATATTTATTTATAATTTAGTTTTTATCTGAATAAGCAATCATGCTTTCCCCTGAAAGCCTGCTTAACAATAGTAAAAATTACTAATGATCACTAGAAGGAATAGAATTTTTTTTAAAATTATCATATATTGCCATATATTTATAGACGTATTGTTGATTATTGGGTTAATTGTAAACATATTTATACGTCATTTTTTGTATATATTTACTTAATTTTTATCTTGCTCATCTAATCTTAATAAAATTTGAACTAATGACAGGCTATATATTTGAAAATCTGCTGCCAGATATTTAAAAATATATAGAGGAGAAACCTCAGGGTTTTCTTCTAGAATATGCAATTCGATTAATTTTTTAAGCTATAATATATAACTACATTATGCATATGGGGCTATAATTTTTTTTGAGATCAGATATAAATTTTTTAAATATAATATATGATTTATATCCTCGAAACTAACCTTTTTAAATTCTGCAATTTATCAAAAATAAAATATAATGGTTTGGCGCCACTTTTTAGAGGTTCATACGAGTTTTTTGAGCGCCCTTTTTGAAATTTACTTTTTTGAAATATGAATATGGTAAGAAATTATATTATAAAAAAGAAACAACTAACAACTGATGAAATAATATATATAAGAATAAAACTCTAAATCCTCAAATCATTCAATTTCGAAAAAATGAGCTTAGAAATAAATGGTTAGAGTAAAAAATTTTTTTAGCAATATAGGATTCATTTTCAAAGGATCTTACGAATACTTAATACCATGTAATTAATTCATTTTTAAAAAATACTGATGTTTGAAGTAACTGGCCCAATTTTTTCCCAAGATGTATTTTTTAATCTTACCTAGAATTTTAACATTATATATAATATAAAAACTATATATTCTATTTATTATATATTTTATATATTTTATAATTAATTATAAGTATATTATAATATAACATTATTGGTTGGTTTCTCTAAATTTATAAAAAAAATTTAGAAAATTATTTCTTACATCGAAAATATATACAAAAAAAACATTACGTTTTTAAAATCTAAAAAAATGTGCCATTCGTTTTTTTTAAAATAAATTTTGAATTTTATTAAAAATACGACTTAATATCCTTAATTCTTTTAATTTGATTAAGTCTATTTTTAGAAAATTGGAATAAAAAATTTTAAGATTTGACAAAAATAACTCAAGAGGCTCAATTTTTTCTTTAAAATAAATTAGATGGGTTCCAATTATATTGGACCATAGCCGGATGCTCGCCTTTTTAAATTATTCTCAAATCGTAAATTATAATAAAATGTTTAGATTATCAAACAAATCTGATTATTATAATACACGTTTTTTAGTATACCTATAATATAATTAATATATATATTTTAATAAAATTTTAGATAACTTTTTCATCATTTAATTCTTTGAACTAAATGTCAAATTTCACATGTTAATTTTTTTTGAAATAAGGTCATACATACCTTGGTCTCATGTGCTCCTGGCGCATACCTTTGTCAAACGATGAAATAAAAAAGTACAATAATTATTTAAAATTCAAACCGATGATAGATTTTTGATATATTATATGTGGTTAATCACTTAATCATATTATATTAGTAAAACTAAAGATGAAATTAACTGAACATGAATTTTTTATCATTAAAAAGTTATTTTTGTTTAAAACTGAATATAAACATTTTTTACAATTTTATCATAAAAACATATTTTTGATTAAAATATTTTTAATGAGGTGACGTAAAGCAGATATTATTTTTATGATGTATAATTGTATCATAATTATCTATTTTAGGATTAAATTTTAAACCATAGATTTAATTAGGTTTATAATATGGGATTGGACTAGTGTTCCCCATAGTTTGTTGTGCCCAGGTCCCTTTAGCGTGAGGTGTTTTGAATTTTTAAAATGAAGAAAAAAGAAATCAACCAATTAAAATTGGGAAAATTATCAAGATGCAGTTATTAGTCTAAATTTTATCATACGGTATATTAATTATTTTTTATCCAAATCATTAAATTTAAAAAATGTACATAAAAAAAATTAAAATATAACAACACTCATTTGCACATAAATTCATCATTTATATATAAAAAAAAAATAGTCATAAATTTAAATAATTTAAGGTTCTGGCCATAAATCCCTACAAATCTGAACTAATCTTGGCATTTTAAGCAAAACAGAAGCCTTGTACATTTCTTTGGCATCCTTTTTTACAAGCTCAACATTTCCTGTATGAATCCATTCTAAACATTTCTCAAATACTCTTAATGCACGGTCTCCTAGCACTTCAACAAATTTCTTGGGCACATCAAATTCTACGATATCCAAATTCTTTTGACTGGCAAATGATTCATCAAAATATTGAGAAAATGCCCCCAGCGCCATTTTATTGCAGCCAACTTTTTTACCGTTAATATTAACTAATATATCAGGATTCATAACTTCCTCCTCAGCTTTATCCCACAAACTAGATAAATAGGAAGTTAATATGTCTTCGGGGAAAAGGGATGTGCTGGTGGTATTCAACTCTGTTAATGACATTATTATTGCTTAATTATAACTGTGGTACAAAAAAAGTATTAAATGGTATTATTCAATTATAGAATGATTTATTAAAAACGTTTAAAATTGTGTGAATTCTAATGCGTCACATCATATTTTTTAATGGAAATTCGTATAATTTAACAAATTTTTATTTTAATAACCTTAATTTAATGAATTAATATTAATTAAGCACAATTTTAATTTCAAATTGGACTAAAAATGATTGGTTACGGTTCTATATATTTTAATGAATACTTTTTTGAAATAGGTTATAGTTCAGCTTTTTAGATTTAATTTAGTTCTGAGGGTTCCAGTTCAGGTTTTTTCTAGGTCCAAACTTTAGTGGAAATACAAATAAAATGGATGTGAATGAAGGGGGTGAGTATGATCATCACCACTTTTGGTCTATAGTAATCATTTATTATTACGAATAGAATTGTAATTGTCAAAAATATCGTTTTAGATCCATATTTTCCATCACCTAACATTGCTATTTAGAGCCTTAATAAATAATATAAACTAGGGCTTGTATCTATGGTTACCTTATCCAGGGGAGGGTGGGGCATGGGAATCACCAATGTTATGAATTAGATAGGCAATGAATGAGAAAGGGGAGATAGTGTGAATAGACCTATGCGCCGCCGACATTTTTGGTTACGCCGGCTACCTTTTTATTCTAATAATTGATCAACACCACTGTTGAAATTTTTTTTAATGTCAATCTGGATTTAGATGAATTCTTATTTTCTACATATTTTAAAATCATAATATATATTTATGTCATTTAAGAATTCAATCAATCAAAAATCTAAAATTCCAAAAGTTAATATAATTTTACATATTTTTAAACTGGATGCATCTACATTTAATAATCTATAAATAATTTTTATAACAGTAAATAATAAAAATAAAAAATCATTTGTATGAAGGTTTCTTAGTTTCTTACACTTAAAAAGAGATAATAAAATAATTTTCATAAATTCTAACAAATTTTACTGTAATCGATGCTTAGAAAAGGCTATTATAAACGATGATGATTCAAATAAGCCCTTTTCACAGTATATTTTTTTTCAATATTATTTTCTCATATTAAGCCAAAATCTTTAATAAATTAAAATATATGTTTTGTAAAATATAATCTAGCTATAAAATTCCCTTTTCAATCAACATTAGCACAGGAAATTTGTTAAAACACTTGACTTCTGATCATAATATTAAAGAAAGCACTTTATCAAAATCGCAAGCTTTAAAAAATATTTTATATCTTACCAAAATTCCAGACAAATTCTAAAACCTCTAAAAAAATGGCTTCTGGCAAGAAGCTATGTGTTATTATGTTATGCTTACTTATTACCTTTTCAATTAATTGATAATATAGGAATTAAAGATTTTTTGAAGGTAGCAAATTTATAAAAAAATTGGTATATTTTCTATAATATTATACATTAATTAAAACACTCCCATTATTATTTAACAAGAACCTTTTAAGATCTACCTCTATGTCTTTTTTGTTCTATTGAAATGGCATTGGCTGCTGAGGAAGGTTTACAATAATTGAATTTCATAGTCATGCCAACAATATGTTGCACATAGACATGAATAATTTAAATAATATTGGATAATTCATATTCATTTGTCCTTATCATCTCTTTTCTCTATAGCTTTCCAACCCAGAATAAATTTTTACCAAATTTATTTCTTATTGATAAATTGTCACTAATAAAAATTTCAAAATACTTACTTTAGTAATATCAAGTTATCAATTCTATTTCTGATTTGCCAGACAGGACAACACTAAGCCGTGCTGCTCTTAATGATGTTTACCTATCAATGAAAGTTCATGTACAGCAACAAAATTTTGCTCAATTACTAGTGGACAGATCAATACAGAAGAAGAAACTATATTACATTTACACTTCATTTAATAAATGATAAATTTGTAATGATTTACTTTACTTTAACAACTCATTTTATTACCCAAAAACACACAGGTGAGACTATTCTAACTGATTTGATAGAGGATTTAATTTAAAAAAGAAAAAAAATACAATGATCACAGATTCTGGGCCTAATGTTAGAAGTCTTCGATTAAGTGATTATGAACACCACTTGTGTTTGGGTCATGGTTTATACAATCTGGTTACAGTAGGTGGTATTAAAAAGGTATACTTTGTTGAAAATCTCATCAAAAGAATTAGAGAAATTATTATTGCTCTAAGATATAAAACTGCAGTGGTTGAATTTGAATTCGAGGCAGATCAAAGATAATGCCTACAATAGATATCCGCTTGCCCTACCATTTATATAAAAAATTTCTTTAACCCGTCCGCTCTCTCAATGTTTGAAAAATATTTTATTGGTTGAGTTTGTTTTTTTATTTATCTTATTTTAATATATTTTTACTTAAAATGAAATCTGATTATATTCAAATCCAACAGTGCATTCTTTTTAAAAAAATTTCCAACCTAATCGCTCACCCGCCCATTATTTAAAATCTTTTAACTCGCCCGTCCCGCCTGCCGATTAAAGACCTTTAGTAGGATCCTTAGAGGAATAATTAGAAGGTAAAATTTTATTTAAACAATAATAATTGATTACTACCAGGCGCATAGCCAATGTGCCCCGAAAACCAAAATATAATTAAAAGCTTTTTCAATAAGTCTTTAACTATCAAGTAATCTTGTATTTTATGAAGTTGGAGGAGTCTATTTTAAGTACCCTTGTGTAGTCTGAAATATATTTCTCTTCTTACTAGACTCTATATTAGGACATCATTTTTCTTTGCATTAAAATGTATTAGAAAATAAGTTAATTATATTAGCATTTTATGCAATCTCTTTCAAAAAAATAATATTGATTTATTTGCCCTGGAAGTAGCATAAAGTAGGCCAAATGTTGATGATTACTCATAAATTTTGTGATTGTTGAGTTTAAAGTCAAAGTAAATCTTTATGTATCTAATATTCACATACATTGGTTTGCACCCATGCTTATAGTTCATATTTTGTAGGAGCAGTGGAAAAATAAAACATATTATATAATAATCCTCTTTATCTCATTCCCATTCAAAAATATTATTTACTCGATATTTCACGAAGCGAAAGAAACCTTTTTGCAAGCTTTTGTTGAATCTTGATGCTTGTAAATAATGTATTTGGCCTAAAATAAAATTTTAAAAATCAGCTTAATCGAGGTTTTAGCAATATTATCCTTTTAGATTATTTTTTAGTTAAATAAATGAAAGGCTGTTAATTCATCAAAAAATCCTTTCAAATCTAAAAGTATTTTGCTAATATATTAAAAGTAATACATATTTTGGTCATTAATATCCATCCTTAGGGAACTTTCCTAGTAAAATAGAGATAAAAATACTTCCCATACCAAATACTTGTATTGATTTAGTAAATTTTTAAAAAGAAGACTAAATCAAAATTTCAGCCAACTAAATGTTACCTAAGTCTCGAGATTTCACCAAAAGTGAGCCAAAATTTCTTCGATATATTCTTGAAATCTTGATGGGTAATATATCTTAATTTCCCCTTTTAATTTACATGTATCGACACTATAAATTACTATTAAAATCATTTAAAAATTAGCTTTTACAAAGAAATCGCATATTTTTTTTGTAAATATTTTGGTGGTTCTCATGCAATATTTCCAAGAATATTCTTGTTTATTAATATTTGACATCCGATTTTTTAAAAATATAATTAATAAATTAGAAATTGGACAATTTTTTCCTAATAAGTAATTCTTTTAAATTTATATATATTTTAATTACTCAAAAATATAACATTTTCGTGCAATTATTTTCCAGCACATATTTGTTTTATAGCGATCCATAATAGTAATAGCTTTATTTTTAATTGTTTCAGACAATTCCAAAGATGTCGAAACCAAATTGTTACCTCCTCCTCAGCGTTATACTCCTGTTATATACATTTAATAATTTATAACTGCATTTAAGCCATAAAATTATATAATTTGATAAATATATAAATAATTTCGGTATAAGTAATTGTTAATTTTTTAGTTACTATTTGTAATAAATTTTTGAATTATTTTTATAGAATTTTTCCCTGCCCCTGCTCCCATCCATAAAAAAATTCCTGACTAGGCACATGATTATGTATCTTCCTTTGGACATCCAAAATAATTAGAAGTGAATTATAAGGAAATAATATTTAAAAAATATTCAAAACTGTTTCCCCAAAATATAATTGACATAAAACAATAATTAAAACAAAAAGAATCTGCAGTCTACAAAGTGCATCTCTCTAAGCATAGGCGTAGCCAGGGGGGGGTACAAGGGGAAATCCCCCCCCCCTTCAGAAATATATCACTTTTCTTAAATATCATTTTAAACTCTCCCCACTCCCTGTCTCTTAAAAATGTATGCATTTATCTTCTTAAACCATAATGAAAGAAATAATGGGAGTTAATAATTTTATAAACTTAAACTATTGACTATAATTTATATTTTTTAAAAAGATTTATATATATATATAAAAAAAGTGATACCAAAAATGTATTTTAAAAAATGAAATATAAGCCATATATAAGTCATAAGACAAAAGTCAAATTTATATAATTACTATTAATAGATCTATAAAAATACTAAGTAAAATAATATATAAATATGATTTTTTATAATTTTATATAGTGAATTATTTTAATTTATTTTCTTAATAAAAGTAAAATTTAATTACAAAATTATTAATAAAATTAATTTATAAATTTAATAAAAAATTAACATAACCATATTCCCATTTTTTTAAAATTTCCTTCCAATTTATTTTTAAAATATATTTTGCAATTTTTTGACCGAGCAACAAGCATTATATTAGTTTTAAGATTGATATGGACATCAGAAAATATATTTTAAAGAATGTAAATGAAAAAGGTAATTCTATATTTATTATAATAAACATTAATTTCCTACCAAGATCATCATCGCAAGAAAATTGATTCAATTTCAAGTGAAAATAGGGTATCAGAAATATTATGTAACAATCATGAAAATATATCAAAAAAGAAGGAAATTAGAATAAATTTAACAAGGATTGATGAACGTATATTCTATATTTATAATGAATTTATATATCTCTTTTTAGTGATGTTGCTGGAAGATAATAATTCTCTAAATATAAGAGACCTTGATTCAAGTAAGAACTATTTGAATATTAACATAATTATTATTATTAGTTATTATTGATTCTCAAAAAGATGATCAAATATTAGAGATTGTGCTAGAGAATGAGAAAAGTAATCCTATCATCCAGGTAGTCCCAATAGGTATTTTATTTTAATATCATTATGTAATTTGCATTTTTTTAAGTTAATGTTGTTGATGAAAGATCTGCAGTAAATCTTATACAGTCAAGTGTTCAAAATATAAATAGTAAAATTTCTATTTTAAAAATATGTAAATAGTTTATTTAGGTACTTTACCATTTGACATAAGCAATTATGTTCAATTGGATGTAGCCCCCAAAGACTTTAATATACTAGAGAGTATATATAGGCCACCCAATAATTATAAATTTCCAAGAGATCTTTCTAGAAGGAAATTAAAATTTCAATTTAATTGGTTTACCACTTGGCCTTGGTTGGCTTACTCACCTTCACAAAATGGGGCTTATTGTAAATATTGCGTTCTATTTGGACCAAAATATGCTGGTAAAGGTGAACAAAAATTAAAGCGACCTGTGAATTGCCCATATAGACGTTGGAAAGATGCAGGAGAGAATTTTGAAAATCATCAAAACAATTTATACCATAAAAATACACAAAATATTATATCAACTCTTAGAGCAATTGGTAAACCATTAAAAATTATTAAAGAGACCCACAAAGGTACCAGTTTAATTGGACAACCTTTTGGGTTTCATATTTTATGGCCTTAAAATTATTTATTTTTTATAAAGATCAAGGTAAAAAGAAAATAGCAAATGAAAATAGACGAAAATTATCTCCTATAATAGATGCAATAATTACATGTGGAAATCAATGTATGGCATTAAGAGGTCATCGAGATTCAGGTTGTATATTTAAGGATGATACAAATGAAAATGATGGGAACTTTAGAGCTATTCTCAGAAACTGAGCAATTGGAGATGATGAGCTCAGGATTAACTTATTAAATGCACCGAAAAATGCTACGTATTTAAGCTCCACCATTCAAAACGAAATCATTGATGTGTGTAATGATTTAATATTAAGAAAGGTAGTTGCCAACATTAACAAGTCTCCATTCTTTTCAGTCTTGGCAGATGAATCAACTGATATATCTGGCATAGAGCAAATGTCCTTGTCTGCTCGATATTTATATTCTGAAAATGGTAAAATTTATATTTATTTTATACAAATTATTATCATTTATATAGATGAAGTTCAAATAAAAGAAGACTTTTTGCAATTTATTCCAATTCAAGATATGAGAGGTGAATGTCTTGCTGACACAATTGATGTTTATCTTAAAAAATTTAAAATTAATGTTAATTTTATGCGGGGACAAGGATATGATGGTGCCCCTGCTATGAGTGGACATTTAATTGGTGTTCTATCACATTTAATAAAAAAATATCCTACTGCAATTTATGTATATTGTTCATCGCATTCCCTAAATCTAGCCATTTCTGATTGTTGCTCAATTCCCGTTATTCGTAGTACCATGGGTTTATTAAACTTTTATTTTAATTATAATCATATATTTAAAAAGGCACAATAGGCAAGGTATATGAAATGTTCAAGTATCCAAAAAGATCTAATGTCCTCAAAAATATTCTGGCAAAGGAAGAATTTGGTAATAATCATAAACTTGTGAAAATGTGCCCTACAAGATGGATCCTACGACATGAATCGGTTGCAGTTTTTCTTGAATTAGTTGATCCGATAATTGTTGCATTGGAGGAAATATGTGGATGGACAGATACATCAGTGGTGGCAGAAGCCAATGGAATCTTGAAAGCGATTCAAGATCCTGAGTTTTTATTGGCCATTAATTGCATTAACACTCTCTTCTGTCACACAATATTATTATGCAGAGCCTTGCAAAGAGTGAACCAAGATATGGTTCAGGCATTGATCTTAGCTGAAGATGCATATAATGCTATTTTACAGATATAAAAAAGGTTAATTGTGAATTTAGAACGATTTTTAACAAAGTTCAAAAAAAAGTGCAATCTTATAATATGATAATAAGCATGCCAAGAATAGTATCAAGACAACTACATAGGAATAATATTTCCTTACAATCAGTTGAGGAGTAATACAAAATTATTATTTTTATACTACTTATGGACACTTTTTTAACTCAGATTAAAGAACGTTTATTAAACCATAAACTTTTGCTAAGTAACTTTCAAATTTTGTTATCCTCTAATCCATCTGTGAACATTTAGGATGACATTAGAAATAAAATTCAGTATTTATATAATTTTTATTTGCAAGATATGGTAGGGACCGAATTAGAAGTAATAAGTGAATTTAAATATTGGTTTGCCAATTTAAAAAGAATGGATATAGAGCCTGATAATGCATTAAATGCACTGAATATTTGTAAACACACACTAATTGACTTTCCGAACATACCAAAATTATTTCAAATTTTAGCATGCCTCCCAATTACGACATGTACAAATGAAAGAACTTTCTCTAATTTAAGAAGACTAAAATATACTTACGAAATACTACCTCGCAAAATAGATTAAATGGTTTAGCGCTATTAAATATTCATCGGGAATTAACACCAGATAATGCTGAAATAATTAATGAATTATCAAATTCTAAAAGAAAATTAGATATAATATTATAAATTATTACCACGTTTTTGTATGATCTATCTTATGACATAACATAAATGAATACCACATTTTTGTGTGATCTATTTATATTAACAATAAACTAATAAAAATAAATTTCATATTTCTTCCGGGCTTATTATTTGTTAAAAGAAATTTTAAATATATATATAGGATTAATAATCCGGCCAAAGGCCGGGTAAAATGGGCTGAAATCCCGCCAAAAATGGGGTCTGGGGGCAAAGCCCCCAGAAATTTGGTAATTCCCCCCCCCCTTATGAAAATCCTGGCTACGCCTATGTCTCTAAGTCAAGCGCGTACGCAGAGGGGGGGGTTTTCCAAGCCAAAAAATGCAAATGCCGGATAAATTTTTCAAAAATATTATTGTTTATATTAAGGTGTATTTTATAATATTTATTTCATTCTCTTTTCTTTTTAAGTATATATTTAATTACATTTATTTATCATATTCATTTACTAAGTTATTTTATCAATTAATTTAGATTTTAAGTTTTTCTTGGCGTAATATTTATCTATTATTTTCAAATCTCTAGTCAAATAATAATTATGGACATAAGAAATTTTTTTAAACAAATTGATTATGATGAAAATCCTAGTCATCTTACAAAAAAGCAAAAAAGTACAAATAATTTTATAACATTTTATAATTAGTCTAGAAGTAAGACATAAGCTTCTACCTATGATAAATATTTTATTTAATAATAGATTTATATTCCACCCCTCAAATTTCAATATCCACAAACTTTATGTGCTAATTGAAAGTTAAAATTCTAAAACAGCTATTTTACTAGATGGTTATGGCTAGAATTATCTATCCGAGACATTAGAGCTTATTGCAAGATATGAGTCCTGTTAGATAAGTTAACAAGTACAAAGATGCTGGAGAAATCTTTGACAATCATCAAAAAACAATTTATCACAAACGCGTTGAACTATTATTTCTTCAAATTAATTGTGGGGATAGGATTCCCATTTTATCACATATTGACAAAAATAGGATTAAAATAGCAAAAGAAAATAGAGATCAAGCTAACTATTGAGGCTATACTATATTGTGGATTGCAGGGCCCAGAATTACATGGTCATTTGGATTCAGGAAGCTTGAATTTCAATAATAAATATAATGAAGGTAATTTTCGTGGTCTTGTAAAATTTCAAGCATTAGGAGATTCTGGAAACATAATTATTTCTGAAACTCCTTGTCCAACAAGGAGAAAGGCATTGAAAGCTTGTCCAACGAGATGGAGTCTTTGCCATCAAGCAGTAACAGCTTTTATAGAGTTAAAAGAGTCGATTATTAATGTACTGAAATAATACAATTGCCTGAAGGGGTTATATTATTCAAGCATATCATTGGATTCAATACTTATACTTTTTTTTCTCATTAGAATATATATTATACAACTATTTTATGTATTTTCAAAAACATAACATTGATTTGATTGAGACGATGAGAAAATAGCGGATAGCTTCTTATTAGAACTCAGGGAAATTAGGGCTAATGTTGTTGAAGAATTTCATATTTTATATGTTATTTTTGAGTCAAAATCAGAGCTATACGAGTTTAACATTTGCTCCCTCGACTTACAGCGAGGCAAGCTCATCGTCCTAACATTAATATAGGGTCAGTAGAAGAGTATTATAAAATAAATGTCTTTATCCCTCTCTTAGATACATTTATAATCCAAATAGAACGGGTTTTAATTCATCAGGCAGCACTTATCAGTCTGCAGATATTACTTCCGCAAAAGCCTTTCCAACCTTTTTCAGATAGTAATAGAAAAAAAATAAAATATTTATCAGATTTTTTTTAATGAAGATGATAAAGCATCTTATGATGCCTTATTAGCTGAATGCCAACTATAGTATAAAAGATTAACGATGGTTGATATAGTCCCAAAAAATGCTATGGATGCTTTGTATCATTTCAAACATCTTTAAGATTATTTTCCCAATGTATTAAAATTATTATATATATTAGCAACTCTTCACATTAGTACTGCAACTAATGAGAGAACATTCTCTTCTTTATGAAGAATATAAACATACCTAAGGAGTACAACTTCTGACAAAATATTAAATGGTTTGGCCTTTTTGAATATTCATAGGCATTTGACGCCAAGTACAGATGAGATAATTGAAAAATTAACCCAATCCCAATGACGATTGGATTTTACATTATAAATTTATAATATGCTTCTTAATAATATTTTTTGTGCGATTTATATTTTAATTATATATTTTCATGAATACTTTTTGAGTTATTACATACAAAATACAATTATTCCTAAGAAACTTGTGTAATAATTTATATTTACAACATTTAAATTTTTATACTTTATATATAAATTTTAAAGGCTCAAAAAATTTAAATTTCTATTTTGGGTCATTTATTTTATAGTGATTTATATGCTGGTTATATTCACTTAATATCTTATAATTCACATTTATTTTATAGTTTTTCATATGCCGCTGGTTATATCCATTTAATATTTTTTTAATTCACATTTATTTTATAGTTTCTATATGCCGGTTTATATATTTATTTTTTATAATTCATATTAATTTAAAATTCTGTATTAGAAATAGTTATTAGTCCTAAAAAAATTTATGCTTGATATTTTTAAATAACAATGATTTTATTTTAAAATTTTTTAATCCCCTCTCCCCACACCAAATTCCTGCGTGCGCCTGTTCTAAGTGATATCAACTATATGGGTGTAGGTAGAGGTGGGATCAATACAAATATATTATTGGTTTACAATACCAATACCAATATAAACCAATATATAATTTAATAAACCAATACCAATTACCTAAATATATTTAAATACAATTTTAACCAATACCAATATTAAAAATAAATACATATAATTATTTGTTTTATCGTGGATAATTATATCGTGGTATATTTTTTTACTCTCATTGCATAAGTTTATTACACTCCGTTATTTCTATCCAAATATTACTGTGATATCAATATTGCCGTTATTTATAATTATAGTTTATTTTTATAATGGAAGTAAATTTTTTACATGCTATCTATCAATTTTATCTATTCATTTAGGATATTATAATAAATGTAGACCAAATAAAGTTAATATATATATAGATGTTGTTGATACTAATAATAATAGCTATGAACAAGAAGAATCAGCAATATCTAATAAAAGACGAAATACAGAAAAAATCTGGGAATTTTATACTAGTTGTTGTCACAAAGACAAGATTGTCATTGTGCATCAAAACCTAAATATAAAAATAGAAAACAAATATATATATAAAAAGGAAATTAATAATAATTAGAAATCACGAAATCATAAAATCAACTTTAATTCTTTATTCAAAATTATAATAGTAAACATCATAAAAAAAATAAAATAAAATTAAAAAATTAAAAGTAAATTTTAGTTAAAATAATAATCCCCTTTTTCGCATCATAATTTCTCCATTATATATCCTTTTTCTTTAATCAACATTTACATAGTCTCCCTAGCGAATAATAAAAAGTTCTACATCCCACTTGTTAAAACTGTTAAAGTATGAAAAAATCTACAAATCTCACGCGTTTTTTTCTCATTTACATAGACGGGGATATTTTAATAAAACATTATTTTTGTTTACAATTTGCATAATGCATTTTTTTTGTAAAGTAAAACTGCAACACCCTTCCACTTAAGTTAGACCCACCAATCTGCGAATAATCCATCTTCTTTCGATCTCGACTTATTCTTCTTAATTTTTGCTGTCTTCTAAGTTCTAACGAAGGCTTTGTCGCTTGAAATTTTTGAATTCTATCTGTCGCTTGTCACCCTGTGAAACGATCAGCTTTTTATCTCTGCAGGCCACTGACGAACTTGATAAAGGCTTGTTTTCCACGATCCACGCTTTATGAACGATTATCGATGCCATCCAGTTTCATCGTAACTTGTTTTCTATCATTCTCTTGTAATCCACGATTAGCCTTTTATCTCGATAAACGATTGGTCTGCGATAAACGATGGTTTTCACGAATTCTTGTTCCTATGATTGTTGATTTTCGTATCTTAGACTAAAGTCTCGGTAATAATTGGCTATTATTGGTCCGCGATTAACGATTGCAGCATAACGTCTTGACCATCTTATCAATTCGCTTGTTTTCTACTTTTTCTTGTAATTGATTGGTTGCTGCCTCTAATTCTTGTAATCGTATCTATCTTTTAGACTTCCGGGTCTTCTACGACAGTCTGCCTTTGCTGAGATATCGACTTTATCTTAAGGTTTCAGGTAATCACATCTAATCTACTTCTACCTAAAATAATCTAT